CAAGAGTATTTTTATTATATTTGTTCAAAAAATTCGTTATATCAAGAGTTCGTTATATCAAGAGTTGACTGTATTTAGTTTATATTTTTATAAAAATTAAATAAAAATATCATAATGATAATTTTTCAAAACCAAATACTTGAATGATTATAAAATTTTTATTATCATTATTTTTACTAATCAAAATAAAACCAAATATTTATAAGCATAATGACTTGAAAAATTATTAAAATTATTATATTTTTGACAAAAACTGAAAGGATAAAACTTTGATAATTACTATATAATTTTATCTCTTTATTTGTAATTGTAATATTATAATATTTATATAATTTCTTTTGATAATATTCATATTATTTACATATAATTATAGTAAAAAATAATAATGTGATTATTTAGTTTAATATTTGTGACTTTTTCATCAATTTTATATATATTTAATTGATTAAGAATATAAAGAAATAAATGAAATAAAAATTACATTTTGTATTAATTTATATATTAATAATACCTTATTATTTAATAGCAATAATAATATCATTTAATTTTTGCAGATTCTGTAATAATCATAATAAGAATTACATTCATTTTTTTAAGACAATAAAATTTAAAAAGAATTGTTTTTTATTTTAATATAAATTTTATGAAATTATATAAATTATATGATATATATATTGTGTCTAAAATTAATTTTTATCTAAATTAAAATTTAGATGAAAATGATCTTTGAATATTTGAAATTGAGATTCAAAGATCAGTTAACTATAATTGAAATTCTAATTTCAGATATCTTTTTATTATCTGAATTTTAATTTCAGTCATAATTATATTGATTAATTTCTGTAATTAATTTTAGATAAGATTATTTAAAATTTAGAAACTTCAAATAAAATTTAAATTTTAAATACAAAACTATTTGAAATTAAACTAAATTAAATATCTGAAATTTAATTTAGATAGAATCTAAATTTTAGATTTAAAGCTATCTAAAATTAAGATAACTGAAATTAAACTTCAAATAAATCTAAAGTTAAATATAAAATCATTTAAAATTAAATATTTGAAATTAAATTTTAAATAGAATCTGAATTTTATATAAATTATACATTTATAAGAATTTTATCTATATATACATAAGTAATTTATTTTATTTAATATAATTTATGTTTTTTTTAACTATTTCTTTTATTTATTTTTTTTATAATAAAAAAAATTAATAATTCCTTTTTTCTATAATTAAAAATTTGAAAATATAAGTAATTTTAGTAATTATAATTTATAAAAAAAATTAATGATTCAATCAAAAAATTTGAAGAATCTGGCTGATTATCTTTAATTATTATAATTTTTATAGAAAAAGTTTAACATTTATTCTCTTTATAAACTTATCTTTGATTAAACCAAGAAATGAAAATAAATAAAGAATGATTGATTAATTAAAAAAGATAAATCTAACCAGCCAACCAAATAAATCTTAACATTTCTATAAGTAATTACTGATCTTTAATTTACATACTGAAAATGAAATGAACATTTTCTGGGTAGCGTATCGTTCTAATCTAATTTGCCTTCTGCCTTTTAGTCTTTGAAACCTTCTTGATCCGCAGCATTTCAAAATATATGTGTGTATACAAAATATGTCGCGGTCACATGCTCCATCACGACAAAATGCGTAGTTATCGTAAAATACTTCCCTATTTGCTTCATGAAATTTCCTCATTATATATGTAGTAAACAAATTTTTTTGTCGAAAGCTTCCATCTTATGATAGCGCTGGTTTTGTGTTGTGGCAGATCTCGCCACAAATATCAAACAATATCCTAAATAATTAAGGCCTTCTTAAAGAAATTTATATAAAAATTTTTTTGACACTTCACTTATGTAGTTAAATATCGCAAAAAACATAGGAGATGTTGTAGCCCAAATGCGTTAATGTCCGCGCATTTCAGACATTTACGCACTTGGGCTACAACAGACACAATGAAGTTATGATGTGTAAATAAAGATTTTATTAATTTAGAGTTTCTTGTTTCTTCTCAAAACTTATTAATATTCACAACTTAAAACCTCCCAGAAAGTTTTGAAAATCTGTTGACAACCAGGTTAATAATAAATAATAAAAATATTGAAGAATATAAATAATGAATAATTGATAAAAATATGTTATGAGAAAGAAATAAATTTGATAAAATTGTCGTCATGTTATTTGGCTCATAAGGTGCAGTCAAATCTTCAGAATTCAAATATTTCGTTTGGCAGATAATATAACATCGCATATTTATGGTATTGATAACATCACCAATATAACACTTTTTTTCTTCGAACTTCCCTTAATACCGGTCAATATGTTGTAGATAAGTATGATCGCGTCACGAAAACTCGATCGACTGATGTTCAGGGGGTCTGCAATCGATTCCTAAGTTTCACGATTTGTCTGCCTTTTTACCCGCTTCAATCGAAAATTATATCTAAATTTCTAACATACCTTTATTTCATAGCATTGTCAAATATCATTCAAATCAATTAAGTATGTTATACAAAAAAAAAATAACAAAATATGTAGACCTAATGCTCAGCTATATTCTGAAAAAAAAATATCATCACAATGTCAATCGATGTACAAGGACAAAGCGGTCATATTACCTTTCCTTGATCTTTTATTGAATATCACCTGATTTTCGAAACCTTAGAATTTGCTTAGCATTACTGCAGAGTATGGACCGTTTATTTGTTTTAATGTCAATGTTATAAAATTAAAAATTTAAAAAAAAAAGATAAGTATTTTTTCGTAAGGACCGTTTTCTCAATTTCTCATTATGCGTTCACCTTCCACCCATTTTCGCTATTTCTTCTCTATAGTCATTTTTTTTTTTTAATTATTATTTTTTTTTGTTTTTATTTCTCCGATAATTTAATTCTATTGTTCGCGGTTGTTTTATTTAATTAGCAATTAGTGATTAGCTTAATTAATAAAACGGAATTTGGAAAGTTTAGAGCGTCGAAGTTAAGGCGACACTTGATAAATTAATTTTAATAATTATTACATCCTATTTTATAAACATAGTGTAAAGTCATTCTGCTTAGAACTGAATGCAACAATATTTGGCTAATAACATTTCGCCAAAGCGAATATAATTGTTGGAATTATCAATTCAAAAATTTGTTAATAAAATATAGTTTCTAAAATTTCGTTGTAACCCAAATGCGTTAATTTCCGAATGATCATTTCGGATATTCCAAATGCGAAGATATCCGTATGCATTTGGGCTACAACAAGTATAAATAGGCTTTTTTTTCAAATGGTTTTTATCTTCCGGTTTATTTTTTTATAATGAAAGCATACGTACAACCATCATTATCATCAACAACATATATACATCGTAATGAAATACTAACATTTAGGTTCTTTATATTATCTGCAGGAGAATACTCAACTTCAAATTCGTTAACAATACAACTATGGAGCAACCTAAAAAATGCTGTTTGGAATGGTCTAAACTTTACAGAAAAAAGTAAAGAAGTGATTTTTGGGTGTAAGGAAGAAAAATATCGTGTGTTTGAAGTGGAATCTGGCACAGATGTTGAAGAAGGTTGGTATGAATTTACAGTTAGAGTACATAGTTCAGTATGGAGTAATGATGAAGAATGGAAATGGTTAAGCGAGGGTGAAAACCAAAATGGAAGAATTTTTATTGGAAGACCAAAAGAAAGTATGCTAAATGTTATTTCTATTTCTGGAATCGAAAGTATTTTTGATGAACATGTTTTTGACCGCATAGAGAAATTACAGACAGGTAATAATACTCGCACTGATAGTTGGTGTACGTCAATGAGCATGACTATATCCAAAGAGTTCTTTGTTTACAGAAGTTTAGGTAGACCTAAGGAATTTGTTAGATATTTTGGATTAAAAAGAATGACAAATTGGTGGTTGGTTCCGACAACTGGAAGCGAGAAATTAAATATTTCATCAGAAGATGTTCAATATTTAATTATACAACAATCGTCAGGCAATTTTGTAGTTTTAATTCCTTTGACCAATGAGAAATATTATAGTTCACTTAATTCAGATGATAGCGGAGAATTGATATTAAAATGTGCAATTAATAGTAAGTGCGACAAAGAAGTTGAAGTTAAATTAGTTGTAAGCAGAGGGTGGGATTTAAGTGATTCAGTGAAAAGTTGCATGGAGGCGACTAAAAAAATAACGTTTCGGGAAGATGTTGAACATGAATCAGCGCGGGTTAAAAGCCACGGAATTAATTATTACGATAAATTAGGATATTGCACGTGGAATGCATTTTATGATAATGTTAGAGAAGATGATTTGTTACGAGCGCTAAGGTCTTTGCATAATGTCGGAATACAAATTGGATATATTATATTAGATGATGGATGGCAAAAAATCAATAAAAATAGAGAAATGCAAGGATTTGAAGCCAATCAAGAAAAGTTTCCTAGTGGATTAAAAGGATTAATTGATAAAGTGAAGAAAGAATTTCCTTATGTTGAAAACTTTGGCGTATGGTAAGTATAAATACGTTTTAACGCCATCAATTAATAAAAATAAATTAGTTCTAACGTTGCTTCTCTTTTTATCATTTTATAGGCATACATTATGGGGATATTGGAATGGAGTCGATCCATCATCACTTTCTACAAAATATGATATTCACAAGACCACATATCAAAACATTAAGACAGCTCATATAATTTCACCAAAAGATATACATAGATTTTATAATGATTTTTATTCATACTTGAAAGAACAGGATGTTAACATGGTTAAGACTGATTTTCAAGCGTGCTTTGATGATATTATAGATCATGAGGAATGTAAATGGTGGTGGGTTGATTATCAAAAAGCATTAATAGAATGTAGCAATAAATATTTTAATCAAAAAATCATTTATTGTATGGCTCATAGTCCTTTCATCATGCAAAATACGTTATCAAATAAAAGTATTTTAAGTGGAGATTCTAAACCCCTTTTTAGAAATAGTGATGACTATTATCCGGATATTGAAGAATCACATTCGTGGCATATTTATACAAATCTTATGAATAATTTGTTTACGATGCATTTATATAGTATACCAGAATGGGACATGTGTCAGTCTTATCATAAGTATGGGGAGTATCATGCTGCTGCCAGAACAATTAGCGGTAGTCCGATGTATATTACTGATTTACCGGATCATCATAATGTGGAAATATTGAAAAAATGTTTGGTTAAAACTCCAAAAAATACCATGCAATTATTGAGATGTGAACAATCTGCTGTTCCGTCTGGAAATACTGATGATTTATTTTTAAACTTGACTAAGGTTGATAAATTATTGAAGATTTTGAATAAGAATGGTAGGATTCGTGTACTTGGATTGTGGAATTGTCGAGACAAAGATATAATCGATCAAGTTAACATTAGGGAGAGCTTAAGGTTTGGAGAGTATTCTATGAAAGAAAGTGAGGATGTAAAAGAAGATATTGTGATTTATTTTGTGAAGAATAAGGAGTTGGTATCTTTGAAGAAAGAGAGTATTAATGTCATGGTTAGAAAACAATCTTTTGAAATTGTTTTATTTATACCTGTGGATATGTTAAATATAGATAATTACCGTATCAAGATGGCCTGTATCGGATTAATTGATAAATATAATGGGAGCAATGCTATATTATCAAGTGAATTAAAAAGAATTCGTAATCAAGCTGTTTATTATGCTAATTTGGTTGGTTATGGAGAATGTGGATTTTATATATGGTGTGATAAGGGAAAGATTGTTAATATTAATGTCTATTCGAATGATGATGAAGTGGAGGATAAGAATATAAAGTATGAAATGGAAAAGTACATGTTAATTGTTCAGTTAGAAAATAATGAAAGAGAATGTGAGAAGGATAGCGTTAAATTAAGAATTGAAGTAAATTTTGATGTATAGAAAAAGATTTCTAATGATGAATGAGTTTATGATTTTAATAAAATATTTTTATTTATTTACTTAATAATTGGTATATTTGAAAATTGTATTGTTCAATTTAGGTAAGCGATAAATTTTGGTAATTACGGTTGATAAATTGGTCAAATTACTAATGAAAGAGGTTTTAAAAAAAGTCTGTTTGTATAATAAATTTATAAACTGAAATATTTCTCTAGATTAATATTTTATTATAACAGAGAAGTTTAAATAAGCCTTTTATTATAATTAAATTTGACAAATTTAAAAGTAATACAAAGTTATATATAAATCATGTGATTAATTGTATTTTAATTATAAATATTTCAGAAGTTTAAATCTAATATAAGTAAATTTTTTATATAATTAAAGAATTTTGCTATGAATCATCAGTGTTATGTGATTTCTTATAGAATAATTTGTCACCCCGCGTCACACCTTTCACGTTTATTGTCAGAATTATTTTCGAGTTCGTTACACGTTATTCGTCACGTCCCTAATTTCGGCCAAAATTTATAATGCCGGCTAAAATGCCTTTTTTGAAAGGTTAACGATTCAAAAAAGGTAATTTTGATTTTTTGACAAAATTGGGGGTCGTCTAAAGCGGAGTAGTATCACGTGAAAATAAAGCGTACGATGATTGGTTAGAGGTAATGGCAAATGC